CCTGTGATGTCAGCTAAGCGCCTGTGTCAAACTGTGAACACATCCAGCGTGACTGAGGAGCCCCCTTGGACTCTGTGCATGATCCCCCCCCCCCTGCTCTCGCCTAGAACTGTTAGAGTGAGGAGGTGGACAGAACAAGGGACTGGTGAGTTCTACAGCACAGCTGCAAGGCCCGGATGTCTGTCTGTCTACACCAGAGCGAAGCCAATTTCCCCCTCGTTTCAGTCTCTATCCACTTAAAGATCTTTGTTTTAGCAGCCAGCTTATGACCATCACACCAGAAATAAATACCTTATTTCATTACTGAATGTGGGGCTGAAGAAACCGCTCAGCAATTAAGAGCTCTTGCCAGTCCTGACCTGAGTATCAGTCTAAGCACAGCAGTCCATAATTCTGATGCCATCCTTTGGCTTCTGTTGGTACTGCGGGTGCATGGCGCACACAAAACATTTGTACACATAAAATAAGCATAAAGACATCTTATTTACTCAATGTTATTAGTGAGTGAATGCCTAGCAAGAGATTTTTTTTAATTTTATTATTATTTTTTTACTTTTACAGTTCTGGACTCAGACCCAGGGTCTTGTACAAGGACTCCATCACTGAACTACACCCCACCTCCAGATCCAGGCCCAGAAAATGACACTCTAAAGGTTCAAGATACAGCACTTTGACATGATAAATACTTTGACCTAAAGAGGAGCGATTAGAACCAACCACCAGAGGAGCTTTTTCGGAAGTCTTCTATCTAAAGGCTGGTCTTCCAGACGATTCACTCACAAGAAGAAGACAAGAGTTGACCACCACAGCCTGAGTCAAGGCAAACTTTATCCAGACAAATTTGGTTCAATTTAACCTAAAAGTGCCTCCAGCGTCTCTCTTTTCCTTATGGAGAGGACAAACACACTTCTAAACCTCACTGTTGGGGTCCCGCTCTTTGGCATGTGATAAATTGGGTGCCTTTGCTCTGATTGGTTTGTCTACTGCCCACCTACTTCTCAGGATGGTTAGGAAACCTCCAGTGGGGGAGAAAAAACAGAACCCCCTGGAGGGAAAGAAAGAGTCCTCTCGCTTCTAGACACATAAGCAGAGGCTGTGTTCCTCGTCTGTACCACCAGATCTGACCTGTGACTTGATGCTCCATACTGTGACCCAAAGGAATGAATATTCGGTAACTTTTATGAGCTTCAGAATGCCCAGCATACACCTGGAGGTCAATAAGAGACCAACGAGATCATGAGTTAGCAGGTGTTCAGAGACTATAAGACACACACATACGCATACACATACACACACACACTTTGGTTACAGCTCCCCCCATTAGGAAACTTGATATTGAGGGCAAGAATGTGTCTGTCCTCTAAATATGTGCATGTGAACTCCTACTCAAGAATATATGTGACATGTGGCCAGCAAGATGGCTTAGTGGGTAAAGGCACCGCTGTGAAGCCTTATGACCTGAGCTCAATCCTCGGACACATCTGGTGGACAAGCAACTCCCCTTCAGCTTACCCTCTGTCCCCACGTGCATGTATGTCATGATGCTCCTTTCCCACAAATAATAAATAAATAAATGTAATTAATTTTTTTAAGGATGTATATGACATGGGCTGGGGATGAAGCTCAATGGCAGAGTTCTTGTTATCATGAGCAAGGTCTGGGTTCAATCTTAGCACTGGGGGAAGGGGTAGTTCACGAGCTAGTGTGCACACACACACACACACACACACACACACACACACACACACACACACACACACAATCTGTTGACACCTTCATGAGACGAACACTCCAGTTACGGCACTCTAAGAGCTGGCAGGTACCTGATCCACCACACAGACACATTCTGTGCCTCAGCCCCCCTCAGGCAGGGGTACCTGGGGTGACATATTGTGGACCTGGGGATCAGAGGACAGAACTAGCCACTAGAGGTCAGGCAGTGGTGACACACACCCTTAATCCTATCACTCGGGAGGTAGAGATCCATGTGGACCTCTGTGGGTTCAAGGCCACACTGGAAACAGAGCCAGGCATGGTGGCACACACCTTTAATCCCAGTACTGGGAAGCACACACCTTTAATCCCAGGAGGTGATGTCTGGGCAGAGAAAGGTATATAAGGCGTGAGGAGACAGGAACTCACTCTCTTTAGGCTGAGGATTTCGTAGAGGTAAGAATGTGGCTGGCTGCTCTGTTTCTCTGATCTTTCGGCTTCCACCCCAATATCTGGCTCCGGGTTTTTTATTAAAAGACCTTTTAAGATTCGTGTTCCAAGTCTCCTCCACAGCATTTCCATTAGCTTCCTGGTCAGCTGGTCAGTGGCCTTCTCAATTGCTTAGATCCAAGATGGAAACCTGACTCAGCTGGGTAGGGCGGGTGTACTGCAGAATCCTGCACCCTCCCGGCCTCACTCATCTCCGCACACCTCCCTCCCTCCCTACAGTCCTGCTCAAGTCCAAGTCCCCTGATCTGCAGAAGTCTTCCTGTGCTGGCCGAGGCAGCTCTGCTTCCTGCTGCTCTGTCACGTGTCACTTTATGCTCTGCCCTAAGAGGTGTCCGTGGCATGCGTTCATCCGTGGTTCTCACACCGATTCCACTTCATCCTTCCCTTCTCAGAGGTGGGCTTCCCAGGGTAGAGGCTGTCTTGTTCATTCAGTTCTCGAGGACCTCCCTCGACACCCGGCACTGGTTGGTAATTTAATAAGGGTTTGATGGTGGGATGCATTAGTGGGAGAGTGGACAAAGGCCTAAGCACTAGGTTTCTGCACGAGACACGCTCATGTCCACATGTTGTCAGCTGCGTTCACTCATAACGCATGCATAGGGTGCACAGGGCACACGGGACACCAGCGTCCTGTCCTCACACAGCTAAGTCTCTGAAAAGCAGAGACTGAAAGTAAAGAAGAAACCAAAGAAACCTAGACCCTGAGACTTTCTGCGTAGAAAATGCCCAATTGAGGGGCAGGGGTGCTCGGGAGGGCTGGAGGCCGAGTGGGCCGTTTAGATGGGTGGGTAGGGAGAGCTTCCTTGGGGACATAGGTTGGTCAGCTTTCTGTCACTAGAAGGACACTCCTGAGACATTCATCTACAGAGAAGAGGTTTATTGTGATTGCAGCCGAGACACACTGGCCCCACGGCTTCAGGCCTACAGTGGCGGTGCAGGGTGCGGGGAATGTGGGAGACAAGTGCTCACCTCACGCCTAGAGAGCAAACCGAGAGGAAGGAAGCCTTGGGTCCTGTAACATGCAGTGATCAAGGGCCTCCAACTGGGCCCTACCTCTCTCAGCTCCACCCTCGCTGCAGCTCAGAGCATTTAGCACACTAATGCCCCCCCCAGGGGGCGATGGAGATCCGGGCTGTGGCACAGCTGGAGCTGAGTCCTCAGGAATGGGGATGAGCCAGTTTTAGGAACAGGGTAACCCCAAACAGCAGACGGCTCCTCTTTCCTCAAGGCTTACTTTCTTAAGAAAAAAATACATTTGTTTGTGTGTGTGTGTGTGTGTGTGTGTGTGTGTGTGTGTGTGTCTGTGTGTGTGTGTGTGTCTGTGTGTATAGCAGTCGAGGACACCTTGAGGAAGTCAGTACTCTCTTTCCACCATGTGAGTCTCAGGGATCAAACCCAGGTTGTCAAGCTCGTCAGAACGGTCCTTACTCAATGAGCCACCATGCCGGCCCCAAGGTTTATTTCTTCATCTCTAAATGGCAGTAGACGCACCCACATCTCAGAGTGGGGTCTACACATGGAAGCCCTCAGCTGGTGCCGGGCACACGGCAAACACTCCATACGCATTGGCGCTTACCAGTTACTGGTTGTGCCATAGAAAGAAAGAACCCTGCCAGTTCTATGTAAGGACACTTCCTCGTCCAAGTCCTCCAAGCCATTTGTTAAATGGCTCTGTTCTACTCCCCCCTCCCCCCTCCCCTCCCCCACGCCCAGCTCCACTCCAGTAAAGGCAATGAAAATATCTTAAAGATTGATGGGGAGTGTGATGTGAAGGGGAAGTCTCTTTCAGTGACGGTGGTGCTCTTGGGACTTCTTCCTCTTTGGAGGCCTCCCACAGTGGCTGTCATAGCTGCCCAGTGAACCTGTTGACAAGGGCCTTCCCATAGCTGGGCCTAGGGTAAGATCCTCGCAGCTGGGGCTGGCTGAGACCCCTGATCCCCTGCAGGCCAATAAAGGTGATGAGTTACCCAGAAAGGAAGCCAGACACCTCCGCATCTGCTGCCTGCCCAAGACTGGGAGCGCCTGGCAGGTTTGTGCTTCTCCAGAGGGAGGGAAAGGCTGCCTTTTGGGGACTCGGGTGCCTCTCCCATATGGGTTCCTCGGCTGGGCAGGCAAGAGAGTCTTGTGTTTGTAGCCAGAGCAAACAGATCCCAATTATCTCAGGAATGAAGATTGCTTTAGTTCCAAGTCCAGAACATGTGTTCTCTGGTCTAGGTGTGGTGTGGTGTGGTGTGGTGGTGGTGGTGGTGGTGGTGGTGGTGGTGGTGTGTGTGTGTGTGTGTGTGTGTGTGTGTGTGTGTGTGTGTGCAGGCGACCACACAAGTCTGCACATTTGTGCTGTTGGGAGAGGACCAACAGCAGCACTGGCTTCACACAGTAGGCTTCCGCTCTCCACCGGCTCTAGCAGATACGGTAATTTTATGTATTCATGTTTTCTTGTCTGGCCTCAGATGGCAACATAAGCAGAACGGTGCCGTGGCAAGTGGTGGTACAAGGGCTTAATTACAGGGACCTTTGTCCCACTGACATGCTGAAAATTGGCCCCTGGGATGATGCAGCAGTAATCTTGCCACCGTTCCAGAGAAAGCCCTATCTGGGATGACGTCAGGTCTCTCCGCGCCCGCTGCTCCTGCTTGCCTCTCCTCTCCAGAACCCCAGTCCCATCTGCGGCGCTCCGAGCTGCCATCTGCATTGTGACGAAAATGCACTTTATTACTGAAATAGCATGCCCGTGTCCACCGGCGGCCCTCTGGCACTTCACATTCCATAGCGCCTAGAAAAGGAAGAAATCCCAGCCCCGGGGGATGACCAAGGGCATATTCCGAGCTCGGTCCAGGCTTCCTGTGTCTGGAACTGGATATTTTATCTCTGCACCCTATAAATATTTATACTTGGGGGCAAAGAGATTCGTTTAACTCGATCACTGGAAATTGAGGCACGTGGCTACGCAGAAAGCGTTGCAGAGTGGAGGGAGAGAGGGTCCCGAGCGGGGCGGTGCTTCCGTGCGTGGCCCACACATGCTTTGGATTACCGGTGCCCGCCCCCCCCCCTTTTCCCTGACCAATAAAACCAGACAAGTGTTTGTGGAAGGCACCCTTCTCTTCATCTACTAATTTTGGTTTTTCTTGCTTCTTCTGGAGAGAGCCGTTTTATTTCTGTCGTCTATTTTGAAGAGTCGTGGAAAGAGAACTGGGTTGGGTAGAGCTGGAGTGGGTAGAGCTGGGGTGGGTAGAGCTGGGGTGGGTGGAGCTGGGGTGGGTGGAACCGGGGTGGGTAGAGCTGGGGTGGAGAGCTGAGGGTGGGTAGAGCTGGGGTGG